AAAACTCATCACAGAGTCGAAAAGTCAGAGTCCAGATGTACCGCGTCAGCGAAATTCAAAACTCAACACAGAGTCGAAAAGTCAGAGTCCAGAAGTACCGCGTCAGCGAAGTTTAAAACTCAACACAGAGTCGAAAAGTCAGAGTCCAAAAGTGCCGCGTCAGCGAAGTTTAAAACTCAACACAGAGTCGAAAAGTCAGAGTCCAAAAGTACCGCGTCAGCGAAGTTTAAAACTCATCCCAGAGTCGAAAAGTCAGAGTCCAGATGTACCACGTCTGCGAAATTTAAAACTCAACACAGAGTCGAAAACTCAAAGTCCAGATGTACCACGTGAGCAGGATTACACCAGTACACATCAAGATGAATTCCTCAAAGTTTTTAGGAATCCTAGAAAGCGGACACGAAACCATTCAACGAAGTAGTCGAGTTCAAATCCCCCGAAGAAGGAGGGAAATGTAAGGACGGAATTTTGTACAAATTCCGCCCTACATAAAACTTATTATTTTTTATTAAAAATCGTCTGGATAAAACTCGATTTATATATTTAAACAAATAAACAAAGCCAACCGCGAACATACGCACAAACGACACGCAAAACAAAGCCAACCGCGAACATACGCACAAACGACACGCAAAACAAAGCCAACCGCGAACACACACACACACGACAAGCAAAACAAAGCCAACGGCGAACATACGCACACACGACAAGCATAACAAAGCTGACAGCGAATTACACTTGTGCGGTTGTGCGTGCATTTAAGCAAAGCAAAGTGTCGTATATAAATAGCGGAGATTTTATATGAAAGATCACTTAGCACCGGCACACCGAAGTGAGTAGATCACTACTCCAGCGCTAAGTCCACTTTTAGAAGCCTATAGTGTTTCGACGCTAAGGCTAAATAAATTCGTAGAAACTTGTGAGTAGATCGTATAACGCCTTTGATGTTTTGACGTCTTTGGCTAGAAACTAATTACGTAGATTTGGGAAAAACCCTTTGATGTTCTGACGTCTTTGGGTAAAATTATTGAATAGACTTTATAAACGCCTTTGATGTTTTGACGTCTTTGGCTAGAAACTAATTACGTAGATTTGGAAAAAAACCCTTTGATGTTCTGACGTCTTTGGATAAAACTTACTGAGTAGAATCAAGACTAGAATAAGTTATTTAAAATAATCTTTTTTTTCTTTTAATAAATAAATTTTAAAATAATAAAATCAAACGGTCTTTTACTTTCCACTCATTGGTTTACCAGCTTCGAACTAGTCAATAAAACAAATTTATTGCAACGACCCGGACCGCGACTGAGTAATACCTCAGCAGAATTAAAACGACGAATCCGTGTCGTTACAGTACATTGAATCAAGCGTGGGACAAACTAGTAGAATTGAATCCAGATAAAGAATTTCTTGAATTAGCTAAAGATTACATAAGACATAATAGATTGCCAAAAATAGACGAATTAGAATATATAAAAGAACAGATAGAGAAAGTTGAAGGAATAAAAACAGGAAAATTACAGAGTACATTAGAAGAATTATCAGATGCTAAGTGTGGCTTGGAGTATAAATGCAAACAGCTAGTTCTACAGACAAAAGAATTGACTGTTTTACTTCAAGACGCAGAAAATCAGACGTTAAGCTTGGAAAAAGAACTTCGAAGAGAAGGAAAGTCAGATAAAGACATTAGCATATACCTGGAGGAGGACAGTGAATTAGAAACCAAATTAGGGAAAAGGAAGAAACAATAAAGAAACTCGTGCTACAAGTAAAACAATTACAAAAAGAATTAGAACGCTATTATAAAACGGATCAGGAAAATCCAAGGAAAAAT